GAAAGAGTGAAATATTGACACAGTGAAACATGTCAAATGTTATTCTTTTAAAAAGTGAACTTAATACACTCTGGCTCTGTGGTCCAGATGTATTTTGTTATGCTTCTGTTAATCCTTTAGGTTCATCCTCCATCAACATGTATCTACTATAAGGAAGCAAAGTATTATATCGATGCGTTAATTACTTTCTGCGTTATCTTGCACGCCAGTTTGAAAAACAGGATTTCGAGAACGCATTCAAAGTATGAGTAGTATTATACTATACAGATACAGGTACAAATAAGGTCAAGCAGATAGTGTAGCTCAAAATAAAACGAAAATCAACAATAACGAAATTTCGCCTGAGGCTTCGTTTTCGAGAAAATCGAATTTGAAAATTAACCAGAGACGCTTGTATTTGTCATGTCAGTAAGTAGAAACGGAATACAATGAACAGACCCGCCGTCCTATTCAATTGCACGCGTACACAGCAGATTTTCAAATTCGATTATTTCGAAAGCGAAAAGTCAAACGCAATTTCGTTATTCTTAATTTTCGTCTTACTTTGAGCCGTACTATCTTCCTGATCTCATTTGTACCACGAATTTTGGCCCTCTCTGTATATTATGTGTACAATTCGCGTCAGAGTTACGTATCACAATTGTTTTTAGGGATTTAAAAACAGACATTCCAAAGACAGGATTTTAAGACTATAAAAATATTTTCACGAATATCACTGAAACGAAACCTGACCGCCGGCTATATGTACAAGAAAAAAATGCTCAGATTGTTGACCTTGACAAGATATTTCAAGGTAATTGAAATCGGTGAGGAAATACTTAATCGACACGTTTACCCCATTCTAAACAATAGTCGTTCGCAAAAAATTCTCCTGGTTGTTTGATGGTAAACGAGATGTATAAAACGTAAAAGTGGGGGGATTGAGGTGAGGAAACTGGAAACTTCTCTGTACCGCATTCTTCTTTCTGAACTATAAATTCTGTTTCGTTTCGATAAGTATCGTCCACATTTGGGAAGATTTTTAAGACCTCGCTTACTCTAATAAAATTTCGCATTATAGTCATTACGAACGAAAATATTAAGGAGAAAATCTTAGTTCCCGTCTCTGTGAAGCGTTCCATATTTACTCGGATAGTGGTCTCAATGTGGAAAGTACTAATAAATTATTATTATTCAACAGGCTTTCTGAATCATTAACGATACACT